ATTCCTCAGACGACATGTCCATCCTGGGCCTCCTGCAGTGCCACAACGATGCCACCCGAAGGTTGCAGGAACAGCAACTCATATTCCGCTTGGGAACCCTGCAGCCCAATGGTATCAATGTGGATTTCACAAGTTTCAAAATCTCCCCTCCCCCCACCGCATCCCAAAACCAGTCCAGCTCGTCCCTGCCTCCCTAACCTGTTCTTCCTCCCACCTATCCCCTCCTCCCACCTCAAGCCGCACCTCCATCTCCTACCGACCAACCTCATCCCGCCCCCTTGACCTGTCCGTCCTCCCTGGACTGACCTATCCCCTTCCTAACTCCCTACCTACACTCACCTTTCCTGGCCCCATCCCCGCCTCTTCGACCTGTTTGTTTCTTCTCCACCTATCCTCTCCTCCATCCCTCTTCTATCCGCCTCCCACTCTCTCCCTATTTATTTCAAAACCCCCTTCCCCTCCCCCTTTTCTGATGAAGGGTCTAGGCCCGAAACGTCAGCCTCTCTGCTCCTATGATGCTGCTTGGCCTGCTGTGTTCATCCAGCCTTGCACCTTGTTGTCTCGGATTCTCCAGCATCTGCAGTTCCTACTATCTCTTGTTTGGAAACTACTTCTGATAAGGCAAACTCTAGACTTGACTCCAAAAGTGTAATTAACGTCATGGATGAAGGGATCTGAAGGATCAATGATGTCACATCAGAAACTTCACAATACATAAAATCCTATAAGAATTCAAGTTCAGGATTCTTCAGTAGCAGAACTTCAAAGAACAACTCAGCACAAGGACTGAAACCTGAACATCCTGTCTTGTTGAGTGGAATTGTGGCTAAATTCCACCAGTGATCGGGTATTACTAAATTGAGTTGTGAGGCTTAACTTGTTTACTTGCAATAAAGTTTAAGTAATTGTTTCAGTATTTGATTAGCTGTGAGATTTCTTAATAAGTAGCTAAATTAAAGGCAGCTTGTGGTAAGTCACAAACAACAAATACTGCATATGACAGCTGTAATCTATTTCTGAATTTGAATGACTAGTCAAGCTGCTGCATTTAACTTTTGCAATTAAAAACTCAACACCTTCCAAATTCCATCATGCCTTTGAGAAACTCTCTGCCATCTATTATTCTATATATAACGTTCACCAAGTTTTATTATTTGAGCTATAATCATACTTGCTATTCAACTGAGGGACTTAAATTGCTTTTAATAGGGATTTACCATGTATGTTCAGCGAAAGGAATCTGCCTGCAAGGAATTCAGGTACCGCCCACTGCCAAAGAGAGTTAAGTACAATACAACATTACAAGAATGGAGGATAAATTTTTTTTTTTTACAATTCAATGAACACATTCCTTCTTCCAATTTCCCCACAAGAATCAGTTGCACATTACATATTTTGCCAGCTGAAATTGAATTCCACACATTGCAGTGGTCGCACTTTCTATTTTATACTCCAAGGTAATGATCCTCCTTATCTTAGTCTCCAACAGTGCTCACTTAGAGGTCTCCACAATATTCAAGCTTCAAAATGAAGTAATTTGGAAAAATGTCAGGGAAACACCGCTCTAGACATGACTTTTGATGAGATGTTACAAAGAGTTTGTTATATTTAATTATTTAATATTCTGAGAAACATTTTATAACTGAAGTAGAAAAAAAATTCCTGGTGCTCATGCCAGTGTTTTTCTTTCAACCATCACACAAAAAATTAGTCATTAATTGATATATGGCAATATTTGTTACTTTCCTGTGTGCTAAACGATTGCAATGCTACTCAACATAAATCATTATATTTCAAAGTAGTCCACTTTGAAGCACTTTGGAATGCTTGACTTAAGGTATTAGATAAATGCTTGCTTTTTCTTGTAATGCAATGCTATTTCAGAATCAAGTTTTCAATGTCTAAGTTAAACTACTTAGTTTTCACTTCAACGTTTTCTTTAATCATGACTCAAGCCTTTCCTTCAGAAAAATACTTAGCCAAACCTTTCTTAACAAAAGAGATAACAAGGTGTAGAGCTGGATGAACACAGCAGGCCAAGCAGCATCAGAGGAGCAGGAAAGCTGACGTTTCGGGTCGCGACCCTTCTTCAGAAATCTCTCTTAACAAAGTTCCTTTCTGCCTGCAGTCATCCTAATTACTTGTCTGAACTGAGGCATTTCAATTTTTCTATAAAAAGTTTAAATTATTTCTGATGATGTTATGATTAAATCATTAAACCAGACTTCAGAACTGACCTCATCATCTTTGCGGTGCATGAGTTATTTTGACAACTAGCTCTAAATCGTTCCACTGTATCCTCGTGCACGATTAACATATTGTTAGCAGTTAATTCACAACTCAAAGACTCCCCCTGCAGAATAAGTGAACACATCTTGATACTCCGATTCACCTATGTTCAGAGTGTAATGTCACAGTATTCAGTGCATACGCATCACTAAAAGCAGAAGCTGAGGACAAGGAGAAATTCAAGTCCAGCCTTGACCAAACTCTCTCATGGGTCCCTGGAGCGGGCATACTAATCGTCCTCTACAACTTCAATACCAGAGTTGGAAAAGTGCAAACCTTTGGAGCAATCTCATCAGGAAAGAGGGAGTTGGGAAGCCAAAGCCCAACAGTACCCTTATCCTGACCAAATATCACAAACACAACGTCCTTATCACCAATGCACTGTTCCAGAGGGATAAATGCAAGACAACGTAGCAGCACCTGCACTCCAAACACTGGCATCTCCTCGACTACATCATCAGAGTGAGGGATCGGAAAGACGTTAAAATCACCTGTGCGATGACTGTAGCTAACGACTGCGGGTGGACCAGGGCCTGAGCTGAGCCAGGGGTCATCATAAACATAGTCCCGCCACAACGGAGACAACAGAAACAGTGCCGCAAAAAATTCAACACCGAGGCACTCAAAGACTCAGAAAAAATAGCCTCCTATAGCCAACTCCTCTACGCAAACCTAGCGACCCTTGGCAACACCAAGTCACGGATCCCAATAGCCTATGGTCCACCCTTAAGACCATCATCAATGTCTGCAACATCTCAGTCGGCCACTCAACCACGTACCGCCAAGTTTGGTTTGATGAGATTGATCAGGAGGTCCAAGAACTGTTAAACTGAAAATACATGGTATTTCTCAGTGCAAAACAACTGCACTTGGAAGACAAAAGGGGGGCCCTACAGATGACTGAAGGCCAAGTTCCAAAAACAAACCTGCAACATAAAGCGCAGATGGTGGATGGAGAAAGCACTGGGAGACCAACGAATGGCTGACAACCAGGCTATGTATGCTTTTTTTCTGTACCGTCAAAACCACAAATGGACCAATCACCCAAGGTCCCAGCCCACTGCTGGGTGAAGGACGAAGTGATCTTATCAAAAGTAAAGAAGCCATCGAACAACGGGCGGGGGGGGAAAGGAGTGGAGGTAGATGCGGGGTGGGAGCACTTCAGCGACCTCCTCAACCAGGGCTCTGTCGTCGATCCAAGCATCCTTGAACTTATCACACAGCATGCTACAGGCCATGAGCTCAGCAACACCCCAGACCTGCATAAAGTAGAGAAGGTCGTGCGCCAGCTTAAGACCAACTAGGTTGCTGCAGCAGGCGGTATCCCACTGAGGCATTGAAGTAGGGCAGAGGCAAAAAACTCCTGCTGCAGCTACACACCCGTCTGCCTCAACTGGGAGGAGGAGAGCATCCCAGGAGAGCTCCGAGATGCCACAGTCGTGAGAATTTTCAAAAAAGGGGACAAGACCAACTGGTAATGACAGGGCAATCTCCATCCCGTCGACCGCTGGAAAAGTCATCGCCAAGTCCTCCTGAATTGTTTTCTCCCTGTGGCTCAGGAACACCTCCCAGACTCTCAGTGTGGCTTTCAGCCACGGGCATGATTTTATACCACAGTAGCAGCAGGAGAAATGCAGAGGAAAGAACTTACCCCTGTATATGACCTTCTTTGACTTTACAAAGGCCTTTGACGGAGTCAATCGGGAAGCATCATGGAACGTCCTTCTTCGCTTTGGTTGCGCCATG